AGAGACTGGCCAGTGAGAGAGAGTGGCCAATGAGAGACTGGCCAGTGAGAGAGAGTGGCCAATGAGAGACTGGCCAGTGAGAGAGAGTGGCCAATGAGAGACTGGCCAGTGAGAGACAGTGACCAATGAGAGACTAGCCAGTGAGAGAGAGTGGCCAATGAGAGACTGGCCAGTGAGAGACAGTGACCAATGAGAGACTAGCCAGTGAGAGAGAGTGGCCAATGAGAGACTGGCCAGTGAGAGAGAGTGGCCAATGAGAGACTGGCCAGTGAGAGAGAGTGGCCAATGAGAGACTGGCCAGTGAGAGAGAGTGGCCAATGAGAGACTGGCCAGTGAGAGAGAGTGGCCAATGAGAGACTGGCCAGTGAGAGAGAGTGGCCAATGAGAGACTGGCCAGTGAGAGAGAGTGGCCAATGAGAGACTGGCCAGTGAGAGAGAGTGGCCAATGAGAGACTGGCCAGTGAGAGAGAGTGGCCAATGAGAGACTGGCCAGTGAGAGAGAGTGGCCAATGAGTGACTGGCAAGTGAGAGAGAGTGACCGATGAGAGTGACTGGCCAGTGAGAGACAGTGACCGATGTGAGTGACTGGCAAGTGAGAGAGAGTGGCCAATGAGAGACTGGGCAGTGAGAGAGAGTGGCCAATGAGAGACTGGCCAGTGACAGAGAGTGACCAATGAGAGACTGGCCAGTGAGAGACAGTGACCAATGAGAGACTGGCCAGTGTGAGAGAGTGACCAATGAGAGACTGGCCAGTGAGAGAGAGTGACCAATGAGAGCCTGGCCAGTGAGAGAGAGTGGGAAATGAGAGACTGGCCAGTGAGAGAGAGTGACCAATGAGAGACTGGCCAGTGAGAGAGAGTGACCAATGAGAGACTGGCCAGTGAGAGAGAGTGGCCAATGAGAGACTGGCCAGTGAGAGAGAGTGACCGATGAGAGACTGGCCACTGAGAGTGACTGATGAGAGTGACTGGCCAGTGAGAGAGAGTGACCAGGAAGTCAAGCGTCCTGTGTTCCAGGCACATTCGTGCTATACTGCTGTGTGACTGGCCCCTGACTTTGCCTCTCTGAATTTCAGGTTCTCTTGTGTACTAGACAGGGTCTAGGTCTTGTGAAACGGAGTCCTGGCCCTCAGGGCCCAGGTGGAGGTAGGAGCAAGAGAGGCAGACCTGGCCCGCGTTACCAGCAGCTTGCCCTGACCTGGAGTAACAAATCCCTGGGTTTCCTGGACCCAGATGGCGTAACTTGGACTTTACCCCAAGCTCCAAGCCAGGGGAAGGGAGGGAGACATTTTACTTCACCTGGCAAAGAGATACTCTCCCAGGAGACCTGAGAGAGCATGAGTGAGGGAGAAGGCAGTAGCCACCCAGAGGCTGCCCTGCCAACAGCTCCGTGGAAAGCACACCGGGCAGCACAACCGCCAGGTCAGGAATAAGGTCCGCTCGGCCCTGCACTGGCTCCTCACTGCAGAGCACGCTTGTCTTGGGACCCTCAGGAGTCTTGGGCACAGTAGCAGCTGCCTCTCTGCAAACCAAAATGCTAACTGCAATGAGATGTCCAACTGAGCAGCTGATCAGAGTGCAGCATCTGGTGGCAGGTGACAGTGCACGTTCGGCCTGGCTGCACACAGGCACCGAGCCGAGAGCCAGCGCACCAACACGTTCTCGCGACTGAAGGGAAAACTTGACAGGAACAAAGAGCATCCTTCTTATGTCTTTATATACTTTTATTTTAAAAAGTTTTAGGCTTTATTGAGGTATAATTGACACATAATAAACTATATTTATTTAAAATGTACAACTTAATAAATTTTCACATGCTATACACCTGTGAAAACATCACCACAGTCAAGACAGTGAACTTGACCCTGGGTCACATGGTAGGTGTAGCTGATATTTTAAGATATAGCCAAACTGTCCCAGGGTGTTGGGTCTATTCCCACCAGCTGTGTTTGAGGTTCCAGTTCCTCCACACTCTCATCAATACTTGGTATGGTCAGTCTTTTTATTTTGAGCCATTCTAACAGGCATGTGGTGCTATCTCGCGGTTTTCTGTCGTTTTATTTCATCTCAAATTATTTTTCTCATGGAGGTAAAAATTTACATAACATAAAGTTAACCATTTTAAAGTAAATAATTCAATGGCATTTGGTACATTCACAATGCAGTGCAACTATCACCTCTATCTAGTTCCAAAACATTTTTACTGCTCCAAAATTAGACCCAGTACCCCCCGAGTAGTCACTCCCCGTTCCCTCCTCTGACAACCACCAACCTGCTTTCTGTCTCTATTGATTTACCTATTCTGGATGTTTCATATAAATGGAATCACAGAGTACGTGGACCTTTGTGACTGGCTTCTTCCAATTAGCATAGTGTTTTGGGGGTATGCCCATGTCATTGTGTGTATCACTACTTCATTCCTTTTTATGGCTGAATAATATTCCATTGAATGTATATGCCACATTTTGTTTATCATTCTTCTCTTGAGAGACTTCTCGTTGTTTTCACCTTTTGGCTATGAATATTCATATATGAGGATTTGTCTGAGCACCTGTTTTAAATCCTCTTGTGCAGCTCTATCCTTTCCGCCACTCTGCCCTATAAATTCTTGCTTCCCTGGTCTCTTGGGACTATTAGCTCCATCTCCTCAACTGTCAAGGAATCTGCTGGGCTCTGCCTCAGTTCCCCCTCCCTGTGCCGGAGACTGGAAACTCTCAAAATAGTACACTGGGGGCAACTGTAGGGTTCATCGCATTTGTTTTCTCTTAGGAATCCTCCACCACCTTATGTCCAGTGTCTTGAAAACCACTGCTTCGTGTCTTTCATTTACCATCTATTACCTATCTATCATCCATATATCATCTGTCTGTCTGTCTAATCTATCTATGTAATCTATCTATCTAATCTATCCATCTTTCTATCTATCTATCTTATCTATCATCTATCAATCATCTATCTATCTTATCTATCATCTATCTATATAATCTATCCATCTATCTATCTTTCTTTCTATCTTATCTATCAATCTACTATCTATCTATCTATCTATCTATCTATCTATCTATCTATCTATCTATCTATCTATCTGCTGTTTCAGAAGGGAGAGTTAGTTTGGTCTCCGCTTCTCCATTTTGGCCAGGAGTGCAAATCTCTTGTGGGACAGGGCCTTCTGTGGCATGCAGAAAGAGCCAACATCCCGGGCCGGCCCGGTGGCGCACTGGATAGTGCACCGCTTGGGAAGTGCGGCGGCGCTCCCGTCCGAGGGTTTGGATCCCACGTACAGACCGGCTCCCGCTCACTGGCTGAGCGAGGCGCGGGAGCAACGCCGAGGCTTGCGATCCCGTCGCCGGTCCCCGGTCCGGTGCGGGGGCAACACTGAGGGTTGCGATCCGATGCCGGACACGGAAAAAAAAGACAAAAAAAAAAAAAGAGCCAACATCCCTGTGGCTATGAGACCTCCTGGGTCCATCTTCACAGTGGGCCCCCCTTGACCAGTGAGTTGACTCCCTCTGGGGCCTGGAGGGGCCAGATGAATGTCCCTTTGCAAGAATGGCTGCTGTTCAAGAGCCTAGTCAAGAGGCCTTGAAAGGCGCCCCTGTTGCTAGGTGAGAATGGTCTCTTGTTCCCAGGTGTCTAACCTTAGGAGAATGGATGAAGGGTCTTTTTTTTTTTTTTTTTTTGACAACTGAAGACTGTCTTAACAAGCACAGCTCATCTGTGCTGAAACTAAGGCTGGGTTAAGATGGGGTTTAGGTCCTCATTAAAGTCCACAGCATAGAGTTTAAGAGGAAATGATGAAATGGTGCTCCCTGAAACATCTCTTCTTTAAATTTAATTAGACAAATTATACTCAAACTAGTAGATGCCCTGGGAAGGCAATCAACATTAGGGCTAATAAAAAGCTTGAATAGTATAAAAGGGCTGGAGGAGGTATTGTAGAACCTTTCTAGCACTTATGAGAGGTAAATTAACACCAATTGCTAAACATAGAAACTGGATAAATTTCAATATTCATTTAGAAATTAATTTTATGATGCTGTCCTAAGTATTAAAATACAGGTTATACTTAAATCATTCAAAGTTTGGCATGTTCACACATGTGCACAAAGTATTTGATAGATATTTACACACTGGGAGACACAATTATGGTCTGACTTTGGAGTTTTGGCAGATCTGGGTTCAAATTCTGGCAAGTTTCCCTACTAGCTTTTTTTGGGTGCGTGTGATCCGAACCCTCGGGCGGGAGCGCCGCCGCGCTTCCCAAGCGGCGCACTATCCAGTGCGCCACCGGGCCGGCCCGGATGAAGGGTCTTTGAAAAGCCCCTTTTTCTCTGAACCTCGGGCTGCTCATCCACAAAATAGGAATCATAACTACTTCCCACGGGGTATTAGGAGGTTTGAGTGAGATAAAGTAGATACAGCATTAGCCCTGTGCCTATATAAAGAAAGAGTTCAGTAGGTAGTGTATTTCTTTTCTTTTCTTGAAGGATGCCTTTATAACAAGAAATTGTTTTTTCTGTCCAAAATAAAAAACAAACAATAAAACCCCCAAGCCCTGCAATTTAGCCACTTTGGCACCCGGTGGCAGGTGTGAATCATCAGCAGGAGGACCTCCTTTACAGGCCTCTTCCTTCTTTTCCACTTTGGCTTAGTGGCGTGGAACATTAGCCATCCTAATTTCAACATGACTACAAAATTTTCTGTTAGAACATTTAGTCTTATAGCAGAGCTCTCGCTTGCAAAGCTTCAGAAATGGTGATCGATTGTATAATGTGTACTGCCCACCAGTCCTGAGCTTGTTCTTGGTCCCAACACCCCACCCCACACCTAAGCCCCTAGGCTCTTGTCCTCGGGAAGAGACAGCAACCGGGTGGTGGCACAGCTTGGCCCTGCAGCTGTGGCAAAGGAAGGTGTTGGTAAGGAAAGTGTCTGCGGGGTGCCTGAGCAGAAGGCTTGTATCTCTTCAGTGCTTGGGAGGGGAGGAGGGGACAACACAGAGCATTCAGGAGTGACCAGGTGTTTTGTTATTTCTTTGGGCCTTCTCTGTATTGACACTGAGGCCTGGCCACGGCTGGGAGTCATGGGTAGCTGCCCACAGTCCCCATGGAGTGGCCTTGGCACTTGTGCCCTCTGGTCTTCACCCTACAATTGTTGTCTCTCATGCAGGCTGTGCAGCTGGCATGTGATTTTACAGTTGGTGCCACTTGAAACAATAAGCCCAGCCTGCTGCCTGGTCCCAGGCACAGCGGAGGAAAGCTGCAAACGATGCCTGACTCAGAAGCGAGAGTGCAGGGCCTGCAGCAGGTCAGCACCCTCCTGATGGCCTGAACTGGGAGGCTGGTGGGCTTGTGGTGGCCATTCACCAGGGCACGAGTGCAGGCATCACTAGAGCAGCAGCTGGTGCGATCCACGGGGCTGAGTGGGTCCCCAGGGCGTGGAGAGCAGAGATGGCCTGGAAACAAGTGCAGCAGATGGGAAACATAAGTAATGCAGCACCACAGGACTAAAGGGGCGTCATTCACAAGGCAGCTGAGCACTGGGAGCCTTTTCTTCACTTATTTGTCCTTGTGGAGATAACTTCCTCCTATGTGCTGAGAGAAAATTATATCATATAACTCACAGACTACCATATCTCCATGTTTATCTTTCTACTAACTCCCTCTGCCTCCCCATACATCATGGTTGCTGAGCTATGCAGCCATTAAGAATATGCACTTAGCAGAGAGACCCATAGTTTCCCCTCCATTAAGAAGGCAAATTGCTTTCTGGACTTCCTCTTCAAAGCAGAGCATCAATTTTTACGGTGTGTGCAGCCCCAGTAAATGTCATTCTTTAGTGGAACTAAATTCCTTCCTCCCACCCTTCAATTAGACATCAGGACTTGATGCATAAAGGTCTGATTCCAACTCTAGGGTAAGAAGGACCATCCTCTGAGGCACAAGCTTCTGTTCCTGGTAAGCTGGGCAGGCTGCTGCTCATTTCCCACCAAAGGCTCCAAGACTAGCAATACAAATATGGTCACACCTCACGCTTCCCATTAACTGCTCAAGCACACCTTGCCTTATTGGCAAGTAAGCCACTGTCCCCCACTTGAAGGCTCCTCTCTGCCTGAACTGACCAGGAACCCTGGAGAGGAGAGGAGGTGAGTGTGTTTGACTTCTCCATCCATGTGAGAGAGGACAGCAAAGCCCAAGACAGCTGGTCGACCACATAATCAGGGCCCAACTCTGCCGTGTGTCTGACTCTCAAGATGGTCACTCTCGATGCTTAGCTTTCTTGGTCCCCATTCTTGGGCCTAGCAAGGTTCCAGCTGACTTGAGGAGACTGTCCAGGTCTGCTTCCAACAGACAAATATAAGAAACAATAGTTTCAAGACAATGGACACTAGCAATGAAGGAATATAATCCCTGACAAACAGGAATCAAAGAAGGTAAGCCCTGCAATTGCACTGGCTTCCTACCCTAAGAGAGCTTCCAGGCAGCAGTAGGGTGGAGTGACCTAGATAGAAGCCAGCAGCCTCCCTGAGCCAAGGAACTAAAGCTGAGAGTCCAGGGAAATCAAGGCAGATAGAGTTCAACAAGACAGAATGTGTGGCAGAAGAGAGAATGCACAGAGAGAACCACGAGGTCTGCAGAGTGTCTCCCGACCATTCAGCATGTGAAAAAGCTGCCTCAGACTGGGGGAAAAACAACCCAAAAGCATTAGAGAACAGTGCTTGGTCCTCACACAAGTCCAGGAAGATTGCCTGTTCCCCCTAGTCTGACAGAAACAACTTATAATTCATGAGCACTAGATAGAATGCGTGCAAAGATTTTGCCTTAGGAACTGAGATTTGTTTAGGAAGTGAGCACTGCCCTGGACCCACCTGAGAAATCATAAAAGCAAGAGCTGAAAGGATCAAACTACATACAAGTAACTGCATCTCAGAAAAAGCTCAGGAATATTTACAGAAAAACAAAAATATCTAGCACCGAGCAAGGTAAAATTCACAATCTCTGGCATCCAATCAAAAATTACTCAGCAAACAAGTATGTAGGAAAACTGGGTCCTACAATGAGAAGATCAACCAGTCAATCAGAAATGACCCAGAATTGTCACATCTGTTGGAATTATCAGGAAGAATATTAAAACAGCTATTCTAATTGCTGTCTACAAGTTTAAAAAATTAAGTAGAGACATGGAAGATATAAAAAAAGACACAATTGAACTATTAGGGATAAAAACCAAAATATGCAAGATGAAAATACATTAGATTAATATCAGATTAGAAATTGAAGGAAAAACGTTTTGTAAACATTAAGACAGAGCTATAAAAATTATTAAAAATGAAACAAAGATACAAAAGATTTTGAAAAACACAGAGCATCAATAAGCCATGAGAAAACTTCAAGCAATCTAATTTATATGTGATTGGTATCCCTAAAGGGTTGGGGGAGGACAGGAAATATTTGCACTAATAATGGCTGAAATTTTTCTAATTTTGACAAAAATTATAAACCCACAAATTCAGTAAGTTCAACAAAAGCCAAACACAAGAAACATGAAGAAAACTACACCAATGCATATCATAATCAAGTTTCTCAAAACCACCTATAAAGAGAAAATATTAAACATAGAGAAAAAAGACCTCTCATGTGTGCAGGAGCAAATGTAAGAACAACGGCAGACTTCCCATGGAAACAATGAAGTGAAAAGCAATGATTCAACCTCTGAAGCAGTGAAAAGCGATACCGTCGATAGAGAATTCAATACCAAGCGAACGTACTTTTCAAAAACAAAGGTGAGACTTCTAGTTTCTGGTTTGGCATGTAAGAAGCCTGGAAGTCATCATTCCTAAAAAAACTAAAAAAAAAAAAAAAGTCAACAACTCTTTTTTGATTCATCAGAGAAACGAAGTAGGGGGGCAAACTGCTGCCCCCCAAAAATGGAGAGACAGGCAGATACAAAGAATCACGACTTACCAGAGCTGAAACCCATGAGCAGAAACCACTGCAGGAACCAATGCCGGGGAAGGAAAACTGGAACTGTAATGGACACATTGCTGGATGCTCAGTGTGGACAAGACTGAAAGTTAAAAACTCTGGGGGAGCCAGTCACAGGGAGATCCACACAGTTTTGTGAGTTTTACCTCCTGGATCTCTACCAGGTTCTCACAGTGAGTATCTGAGAAAAATCCTCTCATACCTCTGGCAAGGGGAAGGGAAAGGGAACCACTTAAAAACAAGACAGAGCACTTTGTTCTGAACAAGTCCTGCCCTCAGGAGAAACTATATAAGCAGATCCTAAACCGCTGGGGTTTTATCAGAGCCTAATTGACCCAGGGGAAGGGAAACACCCAACTCTAGCCACCCCTCATCCCCCTGCAAGCCGTCCTGCCCCACCTAAGGGGAGGGTGCTCAGAAGCACTGGTGAGGTTCATGGCCCAGGGCACAGACGCACTAGAAGACTGAGATTCATCATCTCCCACACCTTGCCACCACATTAGTAAAGGCCTACTTGCTGGAGTTTCTTTTATCTGGTATAACATATCTGGATTTCAACAAAAAATTACTGAAAGGGAAAAAACATAAGGTAGAGAGACAGACCAAGCATGAGAAGCAGATACAGCAGGGATGTTGGAATGGTCAGACGGGGAATTTAAAACAACTCTGATTAATACACTAAGGGTTCTAATGGATAAAGCAGACAGCAGGCAAGAATAGATGGACTATGTAAGAAGTGAGACAGAAGTTCTAAGAAAATCAAAAAGGAAGGTTAGAAATAAAAAATACCCAATAGAAATGAAAAATGATGGGCTCCTGCGAAGACTGGACATGGCTGAGGGAGGAATCAGTGAGCTTGAAGAAGTGTGAATGAAATTCTTGAACAGAAAAGATAAAGACGACGGACAGACACAGATCAGTGTCCCGACCCGCAGGATATTCAACGAGGACCCTGGAGGGGGGAGTGGGAATTGGATAGGACAAGAGACACGAGAAATGAAGACAAGACAGTATTCTGATCAAGTCTCGTTTATTGATTCTTAGGTTACATCTTATATAGGAGAAGGCAGGCATGCTGCAAAGGGTCTGGAATGTAAAGATATGATAATATCTTGAGGAGAGACAAAGACAGGACATTCAAAGTAAAGGTTGCCACCCAGAATGTTTATGGTTAAACAGTTTCTAGAGAAGGATAAAAGGTCACTTGCAAATTAACTTGCATAGCCAGGAGCAATCAGTTTCTGGCATAAAGATTTCGAGGCAGTTATCATGTAAAGCACGGCCATCTGAGCAGATTGTCACGTAGGAGCGGTCTCACAAGAAGGGGTGTGGGGCTTCAGGCCCCCAACAGATCAGAATGTCTGAAAACTGTGGGATAATTACACACGCTGTAACATACACATAGTGGGAATACAATGAGAAGAAAGAGAGGAAGAAGACAAGATATATTAAGAGAAATAATGGCTGGGAATTTTCAAAAACTAAGGCAGACACCAAACAGAACATCGAGGAAGGTCAGAGATCCCCAAACAGGGTTAATACCCAAAAAACCTACACCTAGGTATATAACTTTCAAACTGAAGACCATCAAAGACATGGATAAACTCGAGAGAACGTAGAGAAAAAAACCATCTTATCCGCAGAGGAACAAGAATAAGAAATACACTGGGCTTCTCTTCAGAAACCATGCGAGCGAGCAGAGCGGGGGTGAAACACTGCAAGTGTTGAAAGAAAGAAACTCAGACCTACCATTCTGTGTCCAGGGAAATTATCCTCCAAAAATGAAGCAGAAATAAAGGGTTTCTCAGGCAAAAATGGAGGGGATTTTTTCCCTGTAGACCTGCTTTGTAAGAATTATTAAAAACAATTCTTCAGAGTGAAGAAAAATGACATAGGTTAAAAACTCAGATCTACATGAATAAGGACTAAATGAAGGTCAAATTAAATATTTTATTTTTCTCATTCTTAATTGATCTAACAATAGTTTGCTCAAATTAATAACAGCAGCAACGTATTTGATGACTACCGCTTATGGATAAGTTTAATGAATGACACAATGTCATAAGAAAAGGAAAGGGGGAATTTGGAATAATCTGTTATACGATATTTGCACTGTCCATGAAGCAGTATATTGTTACTTCAAAGTAGACTTGAATTAATTGCAAATGTAGGCAAGTAAAAAAAAGTTTAAAAGAAGTATAACTGATATGCTAAGAGAAGAGAAAACGGAATCATATAAAATGTTCAGTTAAAACCAGAAAAAGAGTGAAGACATGGACGACTAACAGAAAACAGAAACAAATATGGTAGCTACTAATCCAAATATATCAATAATCAAATTACACATCCATGTTCTAAATACATTAATTAAAAGACAGAGGCTGTCTGGGTGGGTCAAAAAATAATATGTATCTACTCAAAACCCACGTTAAATATGCAAACACAGTTAGATTAAAGTAAAGAGAGGGAGAGATGTTAGCACTAATGTTAGCACTAATCCAAAGCAAGCTGGAGTACCAGCCAGAGCTGATACAGAGCAAGGAGGTTATGAGGGGTTCAGGGGGAGGTGGAGGGACAAAGAAGTGGGGCATGGGGGACTTTTAAAGTGG